ATCTCAAAGAGATATACTCTATATTTTCTTTTAAGCTGAATGTTTATGAGTGGTTCATGGCTAGATCTTGTTTTTCCTCTTTATTAAAAAATATATTTATTTTTTATTGTATGTGTATGAGTGTATTGCCTACATGTATGTAAATGTACCCATGTCATGCAATGCCCACAAAGGTCAGAAGAGAGTGTTGGATCCTCTGGAACTGGAGTTATGGACGGTTATTAGCTGCCATGTGGGTGCTGGGAATTGAACCTGTGTCCTCTGCAAGACCAGCCAGTGCTCTTAACCGCTGAGCCATTTCTCCAGTCTGTTTTGCTTCTTTTTTAAGATGAGGTCTCATGTAACCCAAACTGGCATGGAATTCACAATGTAGCCCAGGCTGGCCTTAAACTTGCAGTGAGAATTCTAGGCCAGGCAGGGTTACACAGCGCCATTTGTATCTCAACAAACAAAAGCATTGTGGACAAAATAAACACTACAAAGTAAAAATAATTTAATACCTGCAATAAATTAACACCCAGAGACAGGACAGCACACACAGAAACTGCACAAATTTAAACAAAACCTATGTAAGTCACAGAATCAAACAGCATCAGTATTCTAAGGACGTTTATTCTTTCTATTCCAAGTCCCGCAGTGAGGCTCGGTGGGGATTCGAGAGTCTCAGATCCACAGAATGTCAGAGCAGGCATCAGGGTTCACCTCAGGGGATTTGGGGCTCAGGGAAGATTCCTGGTGATCTGAGAAGCCAGATGTGGTTCAGGTACCAGAGCCCATCTACCTGTTTGCAAGGCAGCCTGCAGCAGCTCTGCCCAGCATTCCAGGGAACACTGACAGCCCCTGGGAACTGGGTCTCTTCCTTGGGGAAAGCCTAGCACAGAGGAGCCTGGAGGGTCAGACCTAGGACTGCAAGTGAGGCTGGCCATCCTGAGGTCCTGGGTCAGCAGGCCCAAGAGGGTGAAGATGGCAGTGCCCTGGCAGGGAGGTGAGTCCAGCAACCTGGGATGTAAGTGGAGAGGACCAAATCAGGCTGGTTTACCCCCAGAAACTGCACAGGTGCCCAAGCAGCCTCCTTCCCTCTGTCCCACCATGCCAGGTCCGGACCCCCTGCTACCTCTGTCTGCTGAACTCACAGCTCTCTGATTTTTCTGTGCCCTCTTCAGGGGTATGGGACTTCCTTGAGTGTCCTGGCTCCATCAGCTGCACTCTATGTAAATATGGACACAGACACTAAGCTTCCCAGGCCAGTCCCAGGCCAGGATTTGGGAGGATGCCCAGAGGGCCGGAACTGAGTCCCCAGAGGTTTGTGCAGGAAGTGGGAAAGAGGTGCCACTCCAGGCAGGGTTCAAGACCTAGGGGATCCAGGTCTGTCACTCACACAGACAGAAATATAGCGTTCCCTGGCTGTCAGCAGTTCAGGGTATGGGATGGTAGGGACCCAGGCAAGTCAGAGAGCTGGGTACAGAGTGCTCCTGCCCTGCTGCCGGGGCCTCATTAACTGTCTGGACCATGGAGGGTTTCTGTGGGTGACCCACCAACAGTCACAGGGCCTGGGCAGGACCTGGGGACCAGAGCAGGGGTTGTCTCCTGCTTGGAGTTCTGGATTCGGAGATATGAAAAGTGCCTGCAGGACACCAGGACACCTGGCCCAGGGCAGGGATGGAGTGTCAGTTCTGGGATCCCAGCTGGGGATAGAAGGGTGACAGAGTCAGGGTGCCACTCAGATAGCTGTCTCTCAACACTCTGGGGTACAGTGAGCAGTAGCGGAAAAGGTCAAGGTGTCTGGGTGTCAGCCTAGTAGGATTAGCTGCCATGCTAGATGTCCTCAGGACCCATAGTCCTATGCCACTGGGCCACTCAACCCCACATCTGTTCCTGCAAGGGAACAGGACATCAGGGCCCCAGCAGAACAGCCATTAGCACTTGGGGACACTCACAGGGGGACTGGGGCTCAGGGTCTGCAATGATCCAGCAATGGATCATTGGGGCCGAGATCATGGGGCCGAGACTGTTTGGACCACAGCGGCCTCCATCTGCCCTGCATTATCCTCCTCATCTGCAATGTGCCCTCTGCAGCTGAAGTTGCTGTGGGTTCTGTTCTCCACTGTCCCCTGGGGGATGGGTAGAGTGCTGCCTACCCTGGACCATGGTCCCTGGACAGTCCATGGTGGCTTTTATGGACCTGAATAAGAAACAGTTTGCAATCTGGCTTCCCCAGACTATGCAGCTTTTTCCTAACGTCACTGCTGGCCTGAGGCCATGTGGAAAGCCAGCTATCTGTATGGCTGGACTTTGGTACCCAGTGGACCTGTGCCAGGAATGGCTGGGCCCCAGCTGTCTGTTCTGTGCAAAGTGTCTGGCTTGTCTTTGTGCATATCTGTCTTCTGACGTGGCTTTACTTCTGCACTCTAGGAATGGACTAGCCCCTACTTTCTCTTCTCTTTGATGATTCCAGGATAGCAGGGACCAGCCAACACAAAGCCTGTCTCAGACCCATCAACCTCATATTTCCCATTCTCTCTCAGCCTCCTTGGCCATTAAATTGTCTTTCTTTCCATCTCTGTCTGTGCTTGACTCTATTCTTTTTAGAAATATATATATATGTATATTTTATTATTTTTATTTTATGAGTATATTACCTGCAGGTATGTAAATGCACCAATTTTGTGTAATACCTGCAGAGGTCAGAAGAGGATGTTGGATCCTCTGGAACTGGACAGTGATTGGCTGCCATGTAGGTGCTGGGAATCAAAACCAGGTCCTCTGCAAGAGTAGCCAGTGTTCTTAACCACTGAGCCATCTCTCCAGCTCCTATGACAGTTTTTAAAGTGTAGTCTATGAAAGGAAAAAAAAAAAGAAAATTTAAAACCTTGAGAACAGGACTGGGAATGTGACAGTTGGTAGTCTCTGCCTCGTGTACAGGATGTCCTGGGTGCATCCCCAGGTATTCATAAACTAGAGTGCACACCTATCATTCTAGAATTGGGAAGGTAGAGGCAGGAAGATACAGTGTTCAAGGTTATCCTTACCTACATAGCAAATTTGGGACCAACCTGGGCTACCTGAGACCCTATCTCAAAATAGAAAGCCAGGTATGATAGGACACACCTTTAACCTCAGTACTTGTGAGGCAAAGGCAAGAGGATCTCTAAGAGATGGAGGTCAGTGTGATCTAAAGAGCAAGTTCCAGCCAGAGCTACACAGTGAGACCCTGCCTCGAAAAAACAAACAAAAACTTGACTCAGAAAGACACTGAAGAGAGTGGAAACCCCCACAACAAGTGAGGAGCTGTGGAAACCTCACCCTCACCCCCCACCCCCTCACCCCCCACTCACCATGAGGAGCTGACTTTCAGGAAAATACCATGGACATCATCGATGCAACAACGGTGGCACTAGTTACTAAATAAACCTGTTGGAGTGGAAGCTAGAAGAGCCAGATGTGTAGCTGTGTTCCCCTGCCTCTCTGCACTTCTCCACCGGCTCGGGGCCACCAGAGACTAGACTTCAGCTTCCACTGGGTACAGCTGAGAAGTAGGACCAGGGAGAAAGGGGGAAAGGCTCCCCACAGGGCCACCCAGACACAGGCCCATCCCTTCCTTCACCTCCCAACTCTTCTTACCCAACTTGGGCATTTGCACCCTCCTCATCCCCTTCTGGTAGACCCAGGACTGACCTCCCCTGTCCTGTGCTGGCCCCCAGGCTTCTATCTTGCCTCTAACACTTCCTTCCGCTAATCAACAATCCTTTGGGAAATGTTCTCATTATCAAACTCATCTTAAATTATCCTAAATTGATCAGGCCATCTGTTTCCTACTGGGCCCTAAATGATGCCCTATAATTAAAGATGTGGGAGAACGCAAATCAGAGGTAATGAGAAGACATAAAAGGCAGGCCAGAAAACTACAGCAGGGCTCTACTATGGAGGAGATTGCTCACAGAAAGAGAAAGAAGAAATAGTGACAAATTGTCAAGAGTAGATTTACCTGGGGTTACAGAGATGGCTCAGTGGTTAAAGAGCACTGGCTGCTCTTGCAGAGGACCTGGGTTTGGTTCCCAGCACCCACATGGCAGTGAACAACCATCTGTAACTCCAGTTTCAGGGGATCTGATGCCCTCTCCTGGCTTCCATGAGCATTGCCCAACATGGGTACACTTACATTACTTACATACATGGAAGCAAAGCACTCATATGTGTATGAGTTATCAAAATAAGTAAATAAATAAATAATTTAAAAAACTTTTTTTGGTCTTTTTGAAAAAGTCTCCCTGTAGCCCCAAATGGCCTGGAACTCACTATGCAGACCAGACTGGCCTTGAACTCACAGAGATCCACCCACCTCTGCCTCCTGAATGCTGGGATTAAAGGCCTGTGCCACCACGCCCAGCATTTAAAAAAATTTTTAATTGAATTTTTATGTATTTCATACAGAACATGTTAATCATTTTTATACCCCCTTCCCCATTGGCCCCCTCCCATAGCTCCCCTAAATAATTTTTTAAAAATAGGTTTACCTCCTAGAGGTGAGATCCAAGACTGATTTTAACTGTCCAGGTTGTACGCTTTTGTATGGATGAAATATTTACAAGCCAGTGTTGATTACCAGATAACACAATCCAGACTCCTGCATGCTGGGAAACCCCCACAGGTGAGATGACAGGCGAGAGGAAAGAGGGAATAGCCTAGGTCAGTTTCTTTTCCCATTCTTTAGACTTCTCTGTATTTATCAGGCTTTATCCAATGACCATGCATTATCAATTTTATGAAAGAGAAGTAAAAGATTTCATGTTTAAAGTAAAATGGAGAAATTAAAATAGATACAGAAATATCCATTTGGATGCTTGTAGGGAAAAAAAAAGAGGCAAAGCTGGATGCAGTGATAAACCAGTGTTAGACCAGGATAGACAAGGAGGCAAAAAGTGAGGTGGGAGGTATAGAGAGAAGAGACAGCAAAACAGAGACAGACTGAAATAAAAGTTTGGGGCTGTAGCAGCTTTACAAAAAGCTTTTTGTCTTTGTCTTTTTCTGTGCTACAGATGGAACTCAGGATTTGTACATGCCAGACAAGCCTTCCATCCCTAACCCACACCCCCAGCCCCTCACTGGTGGATTCTAGGCAGGTGCTCTACCACTGAGCCACACCCCAGCCCCTCACTGGGGGATTCTAGGCAGGTGCTCCCCCACTGAGCCACACCCCAGCCCCTCATTGGGGGATTCTAGGCAGGTGCTCCCCCACTGAGCCACACCCCTGGCACTCAGAAAAAGCTGAGGCGCTGGACTCTTTGTGGGTTCAAGTCTCACTTTTGCAGCTTCAGATCTGTGTGTTTTAGAAAAGTTCCTTTATGCTTTGGGGCCCTGGTTTTCTACCTGTAGGGTAGGCTAATGGTAGGACCTCACTGTGATAGGGTTGCAGATGACTAAAAATGATCCGTATGCATCAAGCACTTAGGGCCTGGTGGACACTGAATTCTCTAGAAGAGCTGATGATAATTATGGGAAAGGATAGGAAGGTCCAACATGACACAGAGACAGACATGTACAGAAGAGGAAAGATTTAGAATCTGAGGGCTGGGCACATGCCATCCCTGGCACAGGTTACTACTGAGTAAAGTTCTCACAAACTTGGCAAGGCTCCCATGGGCCTGGAGCCAATGATGACGATTACCCATTATTCCAGCTGGTGAAGCTTGGGTGTGAACCAATTCTCATTCAGACCCATAAAATCCACTATGGACTATCTGGAGACCATGGCCTAAAGTGTACAGCACCCAGGAGACAGTGGAGAACAGGCCCCACAGAAGCTCAGCTGCAGAAAGCACACTGCAGGTGAGAAGAGATATAAGACAGATGGAGGCTACTGGGATCCACAGTCTCTGCTCCATGTGTCTGACCATTGCTGGACCATCACTGGACCCTGAGCTTCAGTCCCCCTATGTATGGCTGGCCTGCTAGGGCCCTGACTTGGGCCTCCCTGATGTCCTGGTCCCTTGCAAGAGCAGAGATAGGCTGCTGTGGACATCTAGGCTGTGGGTCCTATGGACATCCATTCTGGCTGCTGACCCAGGATGTCACTGCGACCTCTCCCACTACCTCTTGCTGGACCCAGGGTTGCTGGTGGGCTTCAAGATGCTGAGAGCCAGCTCTGACCTCGCCACCATTCTGTCCCTAGCCCATATCTCAGCACTTCTGACACTCAGTCCCTGTCCTAGGACTGGTGTCCTGGCATCCCACATGTGCTTTTCATATCTTAGGGCCCAACTCCAAGCTGAAGACTCCCCTGCCCGGGTCCTCAGCTCCTGCCCAGGTCCTGTGACTGTTGGTGAATTACCATCAGGAACCCCCTACAGTCTAGGCAGTCAGTGAGGGCCTGGCACCAGGGCAGGGATGCTCTGTACCCAGAGCTCTGACTTGGGTGGATCCTCATAGTCCTGCACCCTGGAACTGTGGCCTTGACCTGCATGAGTGATGGACCAGGTCCCCTCAGTCTTGCAGCTCGGCCCACCTCACAGCTCTGTCCTGCTTCCAGAAGAAACCTCTGGGTCCTCTGGGCATTGTCCAAAATATTGGCCTGGGACTGGGCTGGGAGGCCAGGGTGGGTCAGGACCTGAGGTCCAGATTCTGTGTCCTCATTTACCTGGAGTCCCACCTGGGGCTAGAACTGATATAGCAGGACAAGAAGTCCCCATCACCCCCGAAGAGCCCACACAAAAATCAGAAAGCCACTAGTGCAACAGGCAGAGCATAGGTTAGATAGCTGGGGTGACAGGGCACGGTAGGGCAGAGGGGTGCCAAGGCTTCAGGCATCTGAGAGCCTGAGAAGTTTCTGGGGTAAACCAGCCTGACTTGGTCCCCTCCACTTACATCCAAGGTAGCTGGACTCGCCTCCCTGCCACCAAGACACTGCCATCTTCACCCTCCTGGGCCTGCTGACACAGAACCTCAGGCTGGCCAGCCTCACTTGCAGACCTGGGTCAGACCCTCCAGGCTCCTCTGTGCTAGACTTTCCCCAAGGAAGAGACCCAGTTCCCAGGGGCTGTCAGTGTTCCCGGAATGCTGGGCAGAGCTGCTCCAGGCTGCTCTGCAAACAGGGTGATAGGCTCTGGTACCTGGACCACATCTGGCTTCTCAGATCACCAGGAATCTTCCCTGAGGCCCAAATCCTCAGAGGTGAGCCCCAGTGCCTGCTCTGACATTCTGTGGATCTGAGACTCTCGAATCCGCACTGAGTCTCCCTGTTCCCTGAGGGACTTGGAATAGAAAGAATAAACGTCCTTAGAACACTGATGCTGTTTGGATTCTGTGACTTACATAGGTTTTGTTTAAATTTGTGCAGTTTCTGTATGTGTGCTGTCCTGTCTCTGGGTGTTAATTTATTGCAGGTATTAAATTATCTTTCCTTTGCAGTGTTTGTTTTGTCCATGATGCTTTTGTTTGTTTTTGTTTTTTTAAGACAGGGTTTTGCTGTGTAGCCACAGCTGGCCTAGAACTCACTATGTAGACCAGGCTGGTTTCCAAGTCAGAGATCTGCCTGCCTCTGCTTTCTGAGTGTCGGAGTCTAAGGTGTGTGTTAACATGCCCAGTGCTAGCTTTTCTCTCTCTCTCTCTCTCTCTCTCTCTCTCTCTCTCTCTCTCTCTCTCTCTCTCTCCCCCCCCAGCTCTAAGAGAAGGGGCATTGGGATGGGCTTAGACAGATGAGTGGGGGTCAAATAAACAGACACGGCCTGAGCTACAACTATGTGAGCAGAGCTAAGGCGCTAAGGAAGTATGAGATGGGTGTGGGGAAAGATGTGCTTCAGGTGGAGTCTCTAGGGTGCTGGGCCAGGTCCAGAGGGTCTGGAATTCTTGGTAAGGGATTGATGGAGAGGAGTCGTCCAGAGTTATGAGCAGGGAGGCTGCAAGGCAGCCTTTTGGGAAGATTGTCAGATGGAGGCATGGGGCATAAGCTGCAGGAGGGGCTTTAGTGTGTAGACCTGAGTCAGGCCTGGAATGGAAGCAGAAACCATGGCAACTGGAAGCAGAGTGGATTCCAGGCTGTTCTCATAGATGTCTGTCTGGGCTCAGTGGTCAATTAGGTGGCAGCAGAGTGTAAGAAGAGAAAGGCCCCATGTTCTCAAGCTGTCACCTGCCAAGGTGTCTTCCTTCACCAAGGGGGAGCTGCTCAGCACCTGAGAAGCAGCCAGGCAGAGAGCAGAGTGGTTGGGCAGCAGATAGATCCGGAAGCCACCAGCAGATAAGAGCCTAGAGGCCATCAACTAAAAGCTGATGACTCATCAAAACCCCAAAGAGGTGGCCTGGAGAGATGGCTTAGTGGTTAAGAACACTGGATGTTCTTGCAGAAGACCCAGGTTCGAATCCCAGTACCCACATGGCAGATAACAACTGTCCATAACTCCAGTCCCAGGGGATCCAACAGTCGCTTCTGTCCTCCACGGGCATTGCACAACACAGGTGCACTTACCTACACGCAGGCAATACACGTATACACATAAAATAAAAATAATAAATAAAATATTTTTAAAATAAAAAAAATAATAACTGAGCCAGGTGTGGTGGAGCACCCTTTAATCCTGGCAATCAGGAGGCAGAGGCAGGTGGATCTCCATGAGTTTGAGGCAGGTCTGGTCTATGTAGTGAGTTCTAGGTCAACCAGTGATACATAGGGAGACCCTATCTCAAAAATAAAATAAAATAAGCCGGGCGTGGTGGTGCACGCCTGTAGTCCCAGCACTTGGGAGGCAGAGGCAGGCGGATCTCTGTGAGTTCAAGGCCAGCCTGGTCTACATAGTGAGTTCCAGGACAGCTGAGGCTACAGGGAGACCCTGCTTCAAAAAGACAAAAAATAAAATAAAATAAAATAATAAAATAAAATAGGGGCTGGAGGGATGACTCTGTGGTTAAGAACATTGGTAGCTATTGAATCTCTCTCTCTCTCTCTCTCTCTCTCTCTCTCTCTCTCTCTCTCTTCCCAGAGCCCTAGCTGGCTTTATTATTTTTATCTTTTTATATGTGTAAGTGTGTATTGCCTGCATGTAAGTGCACCCATGTCAGGCAATGCCCGCAGAGGTCAGAAGAGAGTGTTGAATCCCCTTGAACTGGAGTTCATTGCTGCTCTAGTCACAGTAGCCAGGAAATGGAAGCAGCCCAGGTCTCCATCCACAGACAAACAGAAAATGAAAACATGGCAGACACAGGATGGAATTTTATGCAGCCACAAAGAAAAATGAAACTATTCTGACTTCCTTGGGCATTGCACAGCATGGGTGCACTTCAAACATGCAGGCAATATACTGATGCCCATAAAATAAGAATAATAAACAAAATATTAAAAATAAAATGAAATAAAATAGTTCTTTGGGGTGAGCTCTGTGGCCTACCCTCCTCTCCACAGGGAGTGAGCCCTTGGGCTTCTCCTCTTGACCCTCCCCTGCTTGTAGACAACACCCTGCCACCTCCCACTGGGCAGCTCCAGGTTCCCAGGGTGGCACCTCCTCTTGGAGGACTGCCCACTCCCTTCCTGGGGCATCATGCAGGTCCCTGTGTTTTGCACACCACAGGAAGGGATCTCATCCAATACACACCAATCCCTCACACACACACACACACACCCCTGCCCTGCCACTGCCCTGCTCTGGGCTTCCTGTGGGAACTCTCCTGACTCACCTGGCCCAGGTGACCCAAGTCCCCGTCACTTTCTCTTTCAGTTCAGAGCCTCACCTGCTGTCAGCCCCGCCCTGCACTGGGCTTCCCCAGCCTGGGCTCCCCTGGTGGCTGGTGTCAAGCTCCAGACTGTTTTCACTTTTCCTACATCAGCTGGGGCTGCCCATCAGTCCAGGTTAAAAGCAGCCATGGATGGAGCTGGGCTTCCATTCACAGCCTCAGCTGACTACCCAGAGACAGTCTCTACACAGCACCAGCCCAGACCAGAGGAAGGCCCACGCCAGAGACCCCAAGCAGGACAGATCCCTGGGGACAGCCTCCAGCCCACACCTGAGTCTCCATCTCCTCACAGAAGCCAGAGACCAACATGAAGCTAGGTGAGTGCCCAGCATGGCTCATGGCAGGCTGGTCCCCACAGCCCCCAGCTCCAGTTCTTACTCTCTGTCCCTCTGTGACACAGACATGGCTGGGGTCTGCGGATTCCTGATGCTGCTGGCTGCGGTGCTGACCAGGACCTGGGCAGTTCCTGTCCCCATGACTACCGGTGTCCCACCAGATGCAAAGGACTGCCACATGGCTCAGTTCAAGTCTCTGTCCCCACAAGAGCTGCAGGCCTTCAAGACGGCCAAAGATGCCATTGTGAGTCCTCCTCAGTCCTCCTTGTGTGGACTAGCCTCCACCCCTCACTCTATGGGTTACCATGCCACCTGGGGTGAAAGCAGACTCCACCTTTGCTGCAGTTGGCTAACCTCAGCACTTCCTGCAGTGGTCTAACCTCAACCCTTCCTGTGATGGGCTATCTCCTGCTCTTACTGCAGTGGAGCAGCCTCTGTCCTCCTAGGAGTGCCCTCCCCTTTTCCTGTTGTGACCCCTCACTCCAACTGCCCTGCAGTGCTCTAACCTTCACCTGTTCTCTGTGGATTAACCTGTTCCCTTGCTCTCCAGGAAGACTGGCTGGTGGAGAAGGATGTCAGGTGTGGTTCCCGCCTCTTCCCCAGGGCCTGGGACCTGGGGCAGCTGCAGGTGAGTGGGGACCTGGGCACAGCTGCTCTCAGCTGTTTGCTCCTGTGTTCTATGTGGATCTGCTCATCCTCTTGTCCTGGGTTTCTCACCAGCCAATCCACAGCCTGCCCACCGCTGAGCACCTGGGCTGTGTCCCCCACCTGTCTCCTGCCCTGTCCCCTCACCTGTCTCCTGCCCTTTCCCCTGCTTGTCCCTGCCTGTCCCCTGCCTGTCTTCTGCCTGTCCCTTGCCTGTCCCCTCACCTATCCCCTGCCCTGTCCCTTGCCTGTCCCCTCACCTATTCCCTGCCCTGTCACCTGCCTGTCCCCTCACCTATCTCCTTCCCTATCCCCTGTGTGCTACCTCACCTGTCCTCTGCTCTGTCCCCTGCCTACCTTCTGCCTGTTCCCTGCTGTCCTCACCTATCCCCTGCCCTATGCCCTCACCTGTTTCCTCTCCTGTCCCACCCTGTCCCCTCTGACCTCTCCATCTCTCCCTCTCACATGTTTTCCCATCTCCTGGCTCAGGTGCAGGAGCGCCTGGAGGCCTTGCAGGCTGAGCTGGCTCTGACTCTGAAGGTTCTGGAGAGCGTGGCAGAACCAGCCCTGAAGACCCTCCTGGACCAGCCCCTTCACACACTGCGCCACATCCTCTCCCAGCTGCGGGCCTGCGTGAGTCCTGGGTCCCCTGCTCATCCATGGTGGTGGTGGCTCCCCTCCCCTGGGCTTCCCTTGTAGCCCAGCCCATCCTCACAGCCCCTCATCCTCTGCCCACAGACCCAGGCTCCACCCACTGCAGACCCCAGGCCACAGAGCCGCCGCCTCTCCCGCTGGCTGCACCGGCTCCAGGAGGCCCAGAAGAAGGTGAGTCTGGGGAGGGGACCGAGGTAGATGAGTCTGGGGAGGGGACCGAGGTGGGCAGCGCCTAGGAACCCGACCCCGGGCAGCCCCTGAGCCAGTGCTGTCCCCACAGGAGACCCCCGGCTGCCTGCAGGCCTCTGTCACTTTCAACCTCTACCGCCTGCTCACCCGGGACCTGAAATGTGTGGCCAGCGGTGCCCAGTGTGTCTGATCTCTGTCCCTCCTGCCAACTCCTGAAGTCCTCCACTGGGGATGCACCAAGCCCTTAACTTATTACCACCCATCGATATTTATGCATTTATTTATGTGTATGGATTCTCAAACTCAGATCCAAAAAATGTCTATTTTTCTACTTTTTGTAAACATTATGCAAATAAATAATGAAGAAAAGACCCTCGTGATGTGGACCATGTGTGTATTGATGTGGACTTGTTTTCTTTTGCTGTCATGTCCTGGAGAGCAAGGGAACACAACTGCACCTCTCTAAAGTCAGCCCTGCTCACCTTGAGCTCTGTGGTCTAGCCTGGGTTGCTGCTGTCTGCTTATTGGATTTCTCAGGATGATATCTACTTAGTGGTTTCCTGCATTGACAGCACTCTGCTGTTGTCATTTGTTTCTGGTTTTGAGACACGGTCTCTTGTAGCCTGGGATGACCTCTAATTTGCTATGCAGCCTGATGACCTTAAACTCCTGATCCTCTTGTTCCCACCCCATAGTCCTGGGAGTACAAGCCATGCACCAGCACTATGGGCTCCAGCAAATCAATCTTTTTTTTTTGAAACAGGGTCTCCCTGTAGCCCCAGCTGACCTGGAACTCACTATGTAGACCAGGCTGGCCTTGAACTCACAAAGATACACCTGCCTCTGCCTCCCAAGTGCTGGAATTAAAGGGTGTGTCACCACACCAGGCAGCAAATCAATCTTGCTTCACCAAAAACACATTGGTACAAAATCCTTTGTACCTTTTTTGCCGTCTTCCCAACCCAGCATAAAGGTAATGTGTGATGCTCAGGGAAGTGGTTTCATCATTCCATTTTCAAAAGGCAACATTTCATGATGAATTTTTTTTTTTAAGACAGGGTCTCTTGTAGCCTGGGCTGGCCTCAAACTCACTATGTAGCTGAGGGTGATCTTGAACTCCCAATCCACTTGCCTCTACCCCCCAAAATGCTCAGATTACAAGCAACCACTACCACATCTGGTTTTATGCAGTACTGGGGATCAAATTCAGGGCTTCATGCATGCTAGGCAAGTACTCCACCAACTGAATCCTATTCATGATGAATTTTACCCAAAAGATATCTACAAAATTGTGATTTACCACTTTTACTTTTTTCTTTTTTGAGACAGAGTCTTTCTGTAGCCCAAGTTGGCCTAGAATTTGCTATGTAGACCAGGCTGACCTAGATCTCACAGAGGTCTACCTGTCTCTGTCTTCTGAGTGCTAGGATTAAAGGTGTGTACCACCACATCTGGCACTATTTAGACTTTTAACACACTGATGCACGTCTAAACCACTATAAAGACTCTTTATAGTTTCAAATAGAGTCCCAGCACTTGGGAGGCAGAGGCAGGCAGACCTCTGTGAGTTTAAGGCGAGCCTGGTCTACATAGTGAGGTCCAGGCCAGCTGGGGCTACAAGGAGACCCTGTCTCAACCCCTCCCCAAATAAAATCAAATAAAGACTTATGTTTGTCTACTAGGTAGGCATGGTAGCATGTATGTGAAATCCCCACACTTAGGAGAGGCATGAGGGTAGTTCAAGTAATACTTGGCTACATAGTGATCTTGAGGCTAGCCTGAGCTATGTGAGACTCTGTCCCTCAGACCCCAAAATATTTGCCTACTGTCTACACAGTTGTATTGAGTAACCTGCTCACATGCACTAGTGATTATATCTGCAAGCATCTTCTAATAGTACCACACTAATGTAGACCCTCACCTCATGTCTTCCACCCCCTCCTCTCCTGGATCCCACATGATATACGCACATGTGTTACATACAATATTGTGACTTCTCTTTTTTGCCTAAAAAAATCTCTTATGCCAGGCACAAATCTTTTATTAAGTGCTTTTAATCCCAGCACTTGGGAGGCAGAAGCAGACAGATCTCTGTGAGTTCAAGACCACCTCGGTCTACAGAGCAAGTTCCAGGCCAGCTGGGGCTACAGGGCAGGGAGACACTGTCTCAAAAAAAAAAAAAAATTAAAAAAAAGAAGAAGAAAAAAGAAAGAGGAAGCACTTCCTGGGCACCCAAAAAGCCTCTCCATACTTGGGCAGGAAACAGAAGGCAAAGCTGAGGTGGCATCTCATCCAGACACCCACACCCTTGGTCCCAGGGGGTCAGTGTCCCTGTTCCTCACTGGGCTTCCCCTGCCTGGAGTTCCTCCAGGAGCAGGGAAAACCTTTGCTCTGCTCTCCTACCTACACTGCTAACTTGGTGCAGTGGAGTGGTGGCTGGGTCTGGGGATCACAGATGGAGCTGACATTTTCCATACCTCCCACCTGAGGACTGAAGAGGAGGGTGAACAGGAGACTTCTAGTGGGAGCCGGCCTAGTGCTGCCCAACGACCGGGGCCTCCTCTTGGGGGAAAGAGGTGCAGGAGCCAGGAATAGGTGGGGTGAGCTGAGGGTGAGTCTTCCAGAAGGACACAGTGGGACTAAACTTTACTCCTCCTCCATGGCCTAACCTTTATCCCTTCTACATGGGCTAACCTTCACTTCTCTTGTGAGGGATAACCTTCACCTTTCCTGAAGGGTCTTTCACCTCTCTTGCAGGGGCTCACCTATACCTTTGCTCTCCAGGAAGAGCAATCACTGCCAGGTGCTGCTTGAGCCTTGCCCCCGGGGCCTGGACCTGAGGCAGCTGTAGGTAAGTCAGAGGACCCAGCCTGTTCCCTGGCCCCTTACCTGCTTCCTTCATTGCCCCTCCCCTTCTCTTTGGTGCCCTTCTATCCCACTTCCTGTCATCTGTCCCCTGCCTGCCCAGGCTGTGCCTCTCCTCTGTCAGCTGACCTGTCCCTGGGTAGTTTTCTAGGTCTCTTCCCATTGACTTTGAACCCTGTGTCTATGTCCTTGCCCTGCTCAAGGAGGTCTGGTGGCCTTGCAGGCTGAGATAGCCCGACACAAGGTCCTAGAGAATTATGGGACTGACTCTGCCCTGGGGGTTACTTTCATGTCACTGTGACCTCAGTACCTGATAGGAACAACTTAAAAGGAGAGCTTTGTTTGGGCAGACGGGTGCAGAGGGGTTCCATCCACCATGGAGGGGACGGCTGGTGGGGCCTGCTCAGCAGTACAGTGCAGTGTGTGGGCCAGGCTGCTCACATTACAGCCAATGAGGAAGCAGAGAGAGAGAGGCAGGAACCAGGGGCAGGTGTCACCTTCATGTCTTCCCCGAGACCTACATCCACCAGCCAAGCCCCAGCTCAGAAAGGTTCTATAGCCTCCAGAAAGAGCACCACCAGATGGGGACCAAGTATCCAAACATGAGTCTGCCAGAGTTGGGTGGGGAGGTGTTTCAGATTTAAACCCTCACAGCCTCTTCCTACACTGCGCAATATTCACTCCCCATTCTAGACCTATGACAGTCCTGGTTCATCCATGTGGTGGCTATGCCCACCCAGGCTTTCCCTGTACCCTAGCCCAGTCTCACAGCTCCCATCCTCTACCCATAGACCCAAACTTAGCCCACTGCAGACCCTAGGTCCCAGAGCCACTGCCTCTTCCGCTGGCTGCATCAGCTCCACGAGGCCCAGAAGGTAAGTTTCAGAAGGGGACCGAGGTGGGTAGTGCTTGGGAACCCTGACCCTGGGCAGCCCTGAGCCTTTCCTACCCCCACAGGAGACCCTCGGCTGCCTGCAGGCCTCCATTGTCTTCAACCTCTACCTCCTATTCACCACAGATCTGAAATGCACACAGGCCAGGGATATTAGTATATGTGACAGCTGATCCTGCTGCAACCTGTCCCAGTGGCTTAGATATTTATCAGCCAACTACCTGCCCAGGGTCACAGCATCTGGGCCTCTATTGTTTGTGAAGCCTCAGATAAATGTTTTATCCTGGCTAGTTTTTATTGTCAACTTGACGCAAACTAGAGACACCTGGAAAGAGGGAGCCTTGTGTGAAGAATTTCCTCCAATCAGATTGGTCTGTGGGGTATTGTCTTGATTAATAATTGACACAGGAGGGCCCAGCCCACTGTGGGCAGCACCTTTCCTAGGCAAGTGGGCCTGGTCTATATAAGAAAGCTAGCTGAGGAGCTCAGCAGTTAAGAGCACTGGCTGCTCTTGCAGAGGACCTGGGTTCAGTTCCCAGCACTCACATGATGACTCGCAACCGTCTGCAACTCCAGTTCCAGGAGATCCAACACCCTCTTCTGGCCTCCACAGGCATTGCACAACACAGGTGCACTTACAAACATGCAGGCATAACACTCATACATGTAAAATATAAATAAATAATTAAAAAAACAAAAGAAAGCAGGGGTTGGGGATTTCGCTCAGTGGTAGAGCCCTTGCCTAGCCGCTTAGCAAGTGCAAGGCCCTGGGTTCATTCCTTAGCTCTGAAAAAAAAAAAAAAAGAAAGAAGGCTAGCTGAGCAAGCCAGTCAGCCACGTTCCTCTGTGGTTTCTGCCCCAGTGTCTGCTCTGACTTGCCTCAGTGATGGACCATGTCCTGGAAGTGTAAACCAAATAAACCCTCCCTCCCCCAAGTTGCTTTGGGTCAGTGTTTTATCACAGCAACAGAAAGCAAACCAGGACATGTTTATTCTTGTGATTTTTCAGACAGTCTGTAAAAAATAATGAGAAGAATATTTGTGAATTGAACTCATTTGTGTCTGTATAAATAGTTTCTTTGGCCTCAGCATGTGAGTGTGTGTGTGTGTGTGTGTGTGTGTGTGTGTGTGTGTGTGTGCGCGCACGAGCGCACAGGTGGGTGGAAGTCAAAGGACAATATATTCAAGTTGATTCTCTCTTTCTACCATGTCAGTCCTGGAGATGGAATTCAGGTCATCACGCTTGGCAAGCACCTTTACCCACTGAACCATTTCCCTGGCCCAGCAAGCCCAATCTTGAGAGTCTCTTGAAAGTAGCCACAGATGCTTTGATAATGATGATAGTGGCTTTTATGCTCAGAGGACCGTGTTCCACACCAGCGTGTGAGAGACAGAGACAAAGGAGAGAGAGAGAGAGAGAGAGAGAGAGAGAGA